GAAATACAAGCCTTTCCTCTTTAAAAATGTATTAAGGCTAGGGCTGCTCCTCCCATTTTTTCCCTGTTCCTCAGGAAATCCAAAGAGACTCCTACAGTGCTCTTCCCCATATACAGTATATCACAGAAGTGAATATACCCCCCCACACACACACTTCGTAAATATTTTAGTATATCTTTTCATGTGACAGCACTGAAGAAAGGACACTTGGCTACAATGTAAAGCAGTGAGTATACAGCTTGTATAACAGTGTAAATGTGCTGTCCCCTCAAAATAAGGCAACACACAGCCATTAATGTCTAAACCGCTGGTAACAACAGTGTGTACACTCCTAAGTGACAATGTCCAAATTGGGCCCAAGTAGCCGATTTCTCTCCCTGGTGTCATGAGACCCATTAGTGTCACAAGCCTCAGGTGTGAAATGGGAGCAGGTGTTATCGCTCTCACTCTCTCAGACTGGTGACTGGAATTCCCACATGGCACCTCATGGTAATGAACTAAATGAGGATCTGAAAAAAAATTGTTGCTCTACATAAAGATGGCCTAGGCTATAAGAAGACTGTCAAAATCCTGAAACTGAGCTGCAGCACGGTGGCCCAGACCATAGAGCGGTTTAACAGGACAGGTTCCACTCAGAACAGGCCTTGCCATGGTCAACCAAAGAAGTTGAGTGCCCGTGCTCAGCATCATATCCAGAGGTTGGCTTTGGGAAATAGACGTATGAGTGCTGCTAGCATTGCTGCAGAGGTTGAAGGGGTGGGGGTGGGGTAGGATCAGCCTGTCAGTGCTTAGACCATACATCACACACTACATCAAATTTGCCTCCAAGGCTGTCATCCCAGAAGGCAGCCTCTTCCAAAAATGATGCACAAGAAAGCCTGTATACAGTTTGCTGCAGACAAGCAGACTAAGGACATGGATTTTTGGAACCATGTCCTATGGTCTGGTGAGACCAAGATAAACTTATTTAGTTCAGATGGTGTCAAGCGCATGTAGCGGCAACAAGGTCTCCAACATCCACCAGCTCTGTGATTTCATCATGGCGGAGTGGAAGAGGACTTCAGTGGCAACCTGTGAAGCTCTGGTGAACTCTATGACCAAGAGGGTTAAGCCAATGCTGTAAAGTAATGGTGGCCACAGAAAATATTGACACTTTGTGCCCAGTTTGGACATTGTCACTTAGGAATGTGCTCACTTTTGTTGCCAGCAGTTTAGACATTAATGGCTGTGTGTTGTGTTATTTTGAGGGGACAGCACATTTACAATGATATACAAGCTGTATCTCCCTGGGAAAGACCCTGATGTTGGGAAAGTGTGAAAGCAAGAGAAGAAGGGGACGACAGAGGATGACATGGCTGGACAGTGTCATTGAAGCTACCAACATGAATTTGACCAAACTCCAGGCGGCAGTGGAAGACAGGAGGGCCTGGTGTGCTGTGGTCCATGGAGTCATGAAGAGTCGGACATGACTTAACAACTAAACAACAACAACAACAAGCTGTATACTCACTGCTTTACATTGTAGCTAAGTGTCATTTCTTCAGCGTTGTCACATGAAAAGATATACTAAAATATTTATGAAATGTGAGGGGGTGTACTCACTTCTGTGATATACTGTACATGAGATCACTGCCAGGACATCACCCATGGTTTTGGAGTCAAGTGTCATCAACACATTGAATCCAGATAGAAGGTGATGCTGGTCACTCTGCAACTAAGAAATCCAGCTGTCACATCCTTAATGATTGATGAAGGAAAAAAATTCCTTTGTTAACCAGGCAGGCTGTTTGGGTGTCTTATTAGACCCAATGTTCTTCCTGGCGTAACAGATGGGAACCGTGACCAGATCAGCATTTTATCATCTGTCTGTAGTCTAGAAACTTTCTTCTTACACAGAGAAGACAGATGCAGCCATGCTGATGCCTGCAACTCTTACCTTGAGATTACTGTCATTTGCTCTGTATGGGGCTACCCTTGAAGAGAAGGGTAGGTGCAATTGGTAGAACACATGGCGGCTAATGGGTGCCTCTTGGCAGGATCATTTAACACCTATTTTGTGCCAGCTAAATTGGTTGCTAGTTGTTTTCCAGGTTCATTTTAAGGTGTTGGTTGTTATCTTTAAAGACCTACATGGCTTGGGATTCCCATGCCCACTGGATAACTTCTGTTTATGGCTCACTATGCTCATATGCAGTGGTTAACTGACGAAAAAAGGAGTCACATTCTGGGATTTTTCCCTTGCTTGGAGTCTCTTAGTGAATAGTATTGAGCAAAAGAAAATATCCTGTAGTCCAGCCATTCTCAACAGGGGCCGTATGGCCCTCCATGGGGGCCTGGCACATTTGAAGGGGGCAACAGGCAGGAAACAATTCTCCACACACATAAGGTTTGTTAATTAATACCTAATTAAGGTATTGCTGCCCACATCCCTCATAATGCATTAGTCCTATGATTTAGCACATGATCAAGAATGCAAGTAGCAACTCATTATTTAGTGACTTTTCATGCTGCGGTGTATGTAATTATACTTGGATTGACATTCATCCCCAATCAAATACTGCCCCATGAGCAAAACACTAATAGAAAAACTGGCCAGTTCGATGAGTAAAATTAGCATATGAGCACATTAGCACTTGTAATCCAGAAACAAATGGTTGCAGCAACAGTAAATGAGTGACAACAGTGTCTGGGAATTCTCGTGGAACAGGCTACACTGCTTGCAGTTCATGATATTGGTTCAGACTAGCTCTGTGTTGCATATTCTGGCTCTCATGTATTTTTAAGAGTGTGGCCTTGCAGCAATATCAATAGCCATCCTGCTCTAGATAAACCACATACCAATTGCTTCAGCAATCATACAAGTTAGGACAGACTAGCTAGGTAAGTTTTCCTGCTATGTTCACTGCAACCCTGACTTGCTTTGGAAGGTTATCAAGGGTTGTTTAATGAGTTAATAGAAGCAGAGGTTTTCTTGAAGAAAGCTTGGCCACCACTATCCATCATCGCTACAAATCTGCAATAGAGGGGAGCTTGGGAATGACCAGTAACATACAATGATGTTGTTTAGTCGTTAAGTCGTGTCCAACTCTTTGTGACTCCATGAACCAGAGCACGCTGTCTTCCATTGCCTCCCGGAGTTGGGTCAAATTCATGTTGGTAGTATCAATGACATTGTCCAACCATCTTATCCTGTGTCATCCCTTCTTCTCTTGCCTTCACGCTTTCCCAACATCAGGGTCCTTTCCAGGGAGTCTTCTCTTCTCATGAGATGGCCAAACTATCGGAGCCTCAGCTTCAGCATCTGTCCTTCCAGTGAGCACTCAGGGTTGATTTATTCTTCATAACATACATATAATTAATTTCTTTTTACAGTAGCCAATGCATAACTGAACTGCATCATTATTATAACATAATGAGAGATAACTTTACTTCTTTATGGTGCAACTATATCTGTAGGTAATTTTATAATTACAGGGTATATGGTTTCACATCTTAGATGTGTTTGATTCCACAGACCACCAGATTTTAGCACTGTTTTTTAAATTAACTAAACAAAATTGTTTTAGCTACTTGGAATGGGGCTTAAAACTGTAATAAATTACTTTTTAAAAGTAATTTTCCAAGTTCTGCCATTGAATTAATTCTAGGTTGCACCTGGTTCATGTACAGTGACAGTTCAAAAGACGTCTAAATTATGCCTCAGAAGTCTATGCAGTGTGGAGAGATCCTGATATAGAAGGTTTAAAAGAGGTAGTCTGTGCTAGCATATCAGGAAAAAACAAACGAAAAATAGAAAATAAAGAAGACAAAAGTGTTGTGGCAGCTTAAAGACTAACTGCTGTGTTTTAAGGTGAACTTTCCTGGACAAGTCCACTTCTTCAGACTTGAAGAAGGTCTGCAGTTACTCTTTAAGGTGCCACAATGTTAATGTCTCCTTTATTTATTATTTCTCTTTTGTTCTTGCCTGATACAGAAGGATTCCTCAAGGTACTTGAGAACTTCCTGGGGTACCAGTGCAGGTTAAGCAATGGTATAGTAGATGGCAGTGAATCTGTGAAAATTACAGACTTAAGAATGGAGGTCCTTTATCACAGAAAAAAATTGTCACCTTTGAAACTGCCCACCATACAGCCTATTGTGTTATGATTTTTCTCTCTCTCTGAGCTTCTACTGTCTTCATACACTCCCCTCATGAACAACTCTCCCCCATGACCCCATGAAAAATTATTTATTTTCTTGAAGAATTCAGCACTTCATAAACAGCAAATATTTCTAAGGTTTGATAGCAGCCTGGATGGTGCAGTAGGTCATGTTGGCTATGGGAAAAGATCACATCTCTGTTAACTTACAGGGATATTTTGCAGGCTTTATGGGGGGAACCATCCATCTGGTCATGGGTAGGGATGTGGAGACCCTTCAGATATTATTGGACTACAGTTCCCATAATACCTGACCACTATATATATTGGCTGAGCATGTTGGAGACTGGGGAAACATCTGGAGTGTCATAGGTTCCCCATCTCTGACTTAGATAATAGTTTCATGAATGAAGCAGAATCTCCATTCAGTTTTTGGTTTTGTTTGTTTGTTTAAGAATGCAATGGACAGCTGTGGGCTGCAGTTCCCATAATTCTGGCTAGAGCTAATGAAAGACGTATGTCAAATACATCTGGAAGTCCACATAGTTTATTGAAAAAAGGTGTATTAAAAATAGTGGTTCCCAACCTTGAGTCCACAGGTGTACTTGGACTAAAACTCCCAGAAGTCTCTACCACTAGTTGTGTTGGCCAGGATTTCTGGGAGTTGTAGTCCAAGAACATCCGGTGACCAAGTTTGGGAGCCACTCATTTAGAATACTGGTAGGTCACCTTTGTAGTATAGTAGGAAATTGACAAAGAAATTAAAGGCCCAGCTTCTAGACTTATATATAAAAAACTCCTTTTTTAACATGGAAACTGATGCACAAATTGGACAGTACAAACTTGTGCTAGAAAAAAGGTGAACTTTATTGAAACAAAAACAGAGAAAAAGCATACATCAGAAATTTAAAAACATCAAGATAACATTGCTGCGCACGGGTGTGGACCGAATCTAATGGGCACATCATTAAGGTGACAGTTACACATTTCAAGGCACCCTGAGCATGTTTTGTGACTGGGTATTTTGCCCTTATCCAGTTTTCAAAATCTCTGCATAAGGATGACTGTATCAGTACCACAAGTAGTTACTGCCTAATCAAATTTTATCACTGTTGTTTCAGATATTGCTCAGTCAGATATTAAAATCATGATCCTCCAACTCTGTTGATGTATTGGTAAGTAGACTTTTAAAAAATAATTTTCCTGTTGTTTGTTTGTAAGACAGACAGACAGACAGACAGATATCTGATCTGCCGAAATTACCTTCTCTTTCCTCCCTTAAGGCAATGGTTTTCTGGTTGTGGGAGATCCCTTCTTACGTAGCAGCTCCTAAAACCAACTTCTGAAAGATGAAGGATGGCTCCCTTGACTTCCCGACTGAAAACTGTTACAGAACAGTCAAGGGAATGGGTATCCATTTCTAAATTCTCTCAAACATGCAGAAGATATAACATTGCTGCTTAGGTAAAGGCAACAAAAACTGAAAACACCTCATCAAAGTATGTCTCAGATTTGCACATTCTGGTTTATACACATCAATGAAAATGTAGCAAGAATTACTATAATTTTGTAACAATGCTGTACATATGGCCATAGCAATATGATCACGTGACCTGTACACTTTCCTAGTTTGCTGTCCAGCTGCTATCTATGAAGGGACAACTGCTGCCCAAACTCCCTTCTTTTTTTGAGTTTCTTTCTCTTTAAATCAGACATGGCTTGGAGAGCCTTTCGAACAGAGGATGACCTTCTATAAAGTACAACCCATGGCCAACAGAACAAGATATCCTCTTCCACGAATGAACTTATTTTAAGTCTGTGGAATATATATATATATTCATAGTTAGGCTCCATATCTGGACCTGTAACTTCACTAAAGAGTCAATAATCCACATCCTGAGATGATACATGGTACGAGTAAAGCAAATATACATTTCAGAATACTCCAGGACATATCTGAAAGTTTTTATGAGCCAGAGGGTTAAAGCAGCAGGCTAGAGGTGGTTTAGAGAAGCTCATGCCAACACCAACCTAGCTGCATCTGTGATGGAAGGATGATACAGCATTTGTTAGCTTTACAATGGGAAGAAATGTAGGTCAGCCCTATGGCTCTGGAAAATGATTAACTTCAAGGCAAACATACAGTTACTCAGAACTCCAGGTATGCAAGTTTAGAGGAAAAGGCTTATGAAAAGTCTAGTTCTTTTTCCAAGACCCTTTTGTCTTTGAACATCTGACTGGATTAAATACTTCCAAAATGTTCTCAGGAAGATTTGATATGCTTTCCAAGCTTGGAAGCTTGAAACACAAAGCTTTTTGCTCAAAAGCCACTAAGTGGCGATAAATGCAAGCACACAGAGCTTTCTAGGGGAGAGCTTGATTCTGCTCTTATAAGCAAGCTTGTGTCAACAACTAAGCCAGTTTTCTCTTCTGCCTCTGTAGTGTTTCCGCTCTACTTTCTGTTGAAAACATAGTTCATGTTAGATGATGAGATCTTTACCACATGAAACAGTTAGCCACTATTCAGTAAGGGTAGGTTTGCATCTACAATGTAAACTGCAGCAATATAATTATCACACACTGTAATTACACAAACTTGAATGTGGTTCTGCCAGCTTCTACCTCACTTTTCAGGAAAGGGTTATATTTAATTTCAACAGCTGATTTCAGGTTGAGTAGAAATAGATGCTAGTTAATATTTAACCAAGGAAGTTTGCAGTTTAATCCTACTTGGTGACAAGGAAATCCCCCTTATTTTCAACCACAACTGTAACCGTGCAATATTTTGCTTGCCCAGTCACTTCTTTCCTTCAAATCATCTGTGTAATTCTCAGGAAATATTGCCCTATTGTATAGAGTGTATAGAGTTCATTGTGTATAGAGTTCTGTCATTTAAAAGTCGAAGACTTTGGGAGATAGGGAGGAAACTATGGTATTTTATTTTTGTAGCATGGGCAGGTACTGTTGAAATACATTTCATCTTCACTTTTGCTAACTACTTTTCTTTTCAGATATTAATCAAGAAGAATACAGATGGGGTGCAGGTGCTGTAAAATGATACAAAGGTACGGAGTCTAAGGACCAATTCAGAATCACTTGGGGCTGGGCTTACACAAAAGAGCATTATTTCTAAAGATTTGCTTTAAGTTGAATTGCACACTGTTTGATTGTTGTTGGTATGTGCTATCAGGTTGGAACCATTTATAGTGATACAAATAGCGCTTTCAAGGTGAGATATTTAAGGAGTAGTTTTACCAGATCCACACCCCCAGTGAGTTTCCGTGGCTGAGCAACGATTCAAACTCAGTCCTCCTGAGTCCTAGCACCTCGTTGTATCCACTGTATACTGGATATCAGTTATTACTGTTGTAAAAATGCTCCAGATAAAGGGCTGATCCAGATTTATTCAGCTATGCCACCACCAGCAGCAAATTCTTCCTGGCATATAGGCATATAGATATTTTCCAGTATTGTCCCTCCCCACCCACCCCTGGAGAGCTTGAAACTCCAGAATGTTCATCTGCCCATTTTAGGACATACCCCATTTTCCCCAGGAATAAGAGATATTGTTGTCACCTGGCTATGGTACAAGACAGGAACCACGAGGAGTCACTATTCTCCCCTAGAATTTCCATGGAGCCTTCCCAGAACAGCTGTGGAAATAGCCACATGACCATCTCTGCAACATCTAAGATTTGGAAAGTGGACATTCTTTTCCATCATTGTAAAGAACATGACAGTTCTTTAAAAAGTCATGTTTTAGGTTATTATGTAAGGTGTCTTAAGTTATCAGGCATAACTTAGTCATGACTAACATGTGTCCCATTTCAGTGACTTATCCTAAGTATAAATGAAAGGAATATTCATTTAGATATGGCAAGACACCCACACAATAAATGTTCAAATCCCTTGATATTCCTGACTACCAGTGTGACATCAAGTAGTGTTTCTTCCCCCCCACCCCCAACCCGATGTTTTTAGTTTATACAAAATGCTTCTGGGCCAATTTATGCAAGACAAATGCTCTTTCCTTTTAAGAAGCAAAGCACACATGCACACACACAGAGAGAGAGAGAAACACACAGGCGCACACAAATGAAGCACAGGATTATCTGATTTTAAAAGATGTCAAGAACTATCCAGTTCTTCAGACTTAAAAAAAAGTCCATAAAACAAAGCAGCAGCTATTACAGTTTTCTACAACATGAGCTAATTAAAGTGTGCAAATTTCACAATATGCTTAAAACCGCTGAGTTGACAGCACCAGAGACTATCTCACTCTCTTGCAGGCCAAAGAGAGGGGAAGATGGCATTCCTTGTTCCTTTTTATGAGGACAACAAGCAATGATTTTCATCCATAACTCTTAAGTAAGTCTTGGTCCAACCCACAGAGCAGGGGTAGCCCACCTGATTCCTTCTAGATGTTTTGGACCACAGTGACTAATACTCTTTGACCGTGCTAGCTGAGGCACCTGGGAGTTGTGGTCCAAAACATACAGAAGGCATAAGAAAGGTAATCTCAGGTTGCCTCCATTTGCCTTATTATTGTAAATACTGAGGAATCTTGAAACAAAGACCAAAGGTTTGAAGAACGCCAACTACTTGTGCATTTTGTTTTGTCTCACTATAGAAAGAAAATACTAATTGGTACTTTCAAACTTCCTGCAGCTACATCTTTGATCCTCAAGAAGTGCAGCCATCTGGATACGTCAATGAAATAAACTACAAGCCAGATGAGCAAGATGGAGGCAAATTCAAATGTAAGCAAAACAATGACGTTCAGCCACATAATGATCACTTGCAGAAAGCTGAGATACAACCAGCAGCAAATAGACACAAACTGAACAACACTAAGGGTGCTGCTCAGAATCACAGAAGCACCTTTTTTCATGAGGAAGAACTTGGGAACTCTGTTGAAAAGTGCAATGGGGTACATTCCTATCCCAATCCCAACACAAACCAAAGTAGAGAGAGCAGCACACACGTCTACTCTGGCCAGCTTTCAGATTCTTCAGCCAAAAGGATCTCCCAGCCACAGACATGTGACAACCATGAGATTCCTAACATTGAAGTTTGTCGAAAGTTACCTTCAGAGACAACAGAAAATTTCCACTATGAAGAATTTCAGAGTACAGGCGAAAACATTTCTTCCCATCAAAGTGCCATACTGGACATGCAAGGCAATGGTGCACATCCACCTGGACCCAGTTATCCTAAGAATGCCAGCCATGCTGGGAAACTAAAAGCTGCTGGAAGTAAAAGTGCATCGAACCACAGCTACATAGACCAAAACATAGAATGCACAGCTGGGACCAAACAGAGTAGGGACCTACCATGGTGTGAGCCTCAACGCTCTGATTCAGGAGATAAAGCCTGTAGGACAGGCCCTTTAAATGCTTGTTTCAAGAACAAAACATCCAGTGATGCCCCATATCCACAAGCCAAGACAGATGTTCAACAAGAAGCTGAGTATGATTGCCATGAAGAGGTGAATGGAGAAGTAGAGGAGGAAGATGCAGATGTAGCAGAGGCTCTTGCAGCACTTGAGGCTGCCACAGCTGGAGAAGATTCTGAGGAGGATGAGAAATACTAGATGATAGCCAAGATACCAAGAACTCTTCTCTTTGGCAGTTCTTTAACATGGCACAGTGGGGCCAGCCTTTCAGGTTGACACTTGCAGGCCTTTGCCCAGGATACCCATAACCCGCAGGAGGAATATGTAATTAGGTTGGGCAAGCGATTATGAAGAGCGGCCACTTTTTCCAGACTATGCTGAGGTGTCATCATTAGGATCACCCAATCGAATGCTGTTGGGCCAGCACTCTGCACTAGGGCTGAACAGAAACATAGGTCAGGATTTACTGGTGGACCTTTGAGTGATGTGCAATAGCTTGGGAAAGCTTCCTGACTCCATCCTCTCCGAAACAAAAGGTGTTTCTCTGCCCAATTAGGCTGGTGAAATGGAGAAACCTTGAGGTGACTGGGAGCAGACCTTTATGTAAAAGGACAGTGGCCTCAATTTTGTTGTGATGCTGACCGCAGATTCCTCATCTCAAAACGTGCTCAGGTGGGCTCTCTTCTTTAATTTAAGAGCTTGACTTTTGAAAATAGATCTTGAAGTACCTAGTAAAACACAGAGTAAGTCCAACAAGACTGAAGTCTATCCATCGTGCTCTGCCTTTTCAGGGACCTGCTCCTGCCAGCCAAGCAAATCCCCTCCCTCTGTTCCTCCAAATGGCAGTTCCAGCTGCAATGAATGGTTATCATATATCATTTGCAGAAGAGGGAAAAACCCACTATTGAGAACAATTACGTCTCAGAGATTCTCTTCTAACTGGAGAAAAAGGAGGACATCCTCTGTTCATGAAAGCACTAAGCCTTCCTTCATAGCAATAACTAAAAAGGAACCTTACTTAAAGAAGCCAGTATGCTGTTCTGCTACACTTCCAGGCTATACAGGAATTTTCTTGATCCTCCAGGGCTTACAGGCTTTAGAACATTCCACTTGTCTCAAAGCAAACCTGCAAAACAGCCAGTTTGAACTAGCTATCACACAAAACTACTTTTTCTGTGACATTTTCAGCAGTGCCAAAAATCCTCCCTTTCCAACTTTTTTCTGGACAAAAAGTTTGCTTGTTTATCTGTGCTGATCTCAGTGACATCACCATGTAGCTAAATCTCTGACAGAATACTTGTCTTTTCATGATGTCAGCTCATCCACTGCTCAGTCACTCATGATTAAATCTCAGAAGTTGAAAGCAGCTATAAATGAGATGGAGGAATAATGCCTAACTAAATTAGGAAAATAAATTAGTGTTTTCCCAATCTAAATGTACATCTACTCTACAGTTGTTGATTTATACCCCAAAATCAAAGTTGGAGAATATTTTGCTTAGCTTTAGTTTCATGTAATTTTTAAAAAAGTTGTGATTAAATCTTTTTCTGCTACTATTTGCCACATATTCCCAAACCAACAATCTAGGTAAAAGTTTGTTTATTACACAGGTTCCTTCTAGCTGCATTCCTTCTTTTCTGCCAGTTCTTCTGTCAATGGCACTGTGTGTTCATACGGCTGAGAAGTGCTGCTTGGTCACCTGGCTAAGTGCTTCAAGTTCCTGAGTACTATTGTGATATATGTTGATTTTCAGCACCAACTTACCAAAAACCATAGTGCCATCATTTCTATTCCAGTAAGCACAAGAAATACAATAAGCACAAGAGATGCTATAGTATGAAGCATCACAAAAGCAGGGCATTCTCATGTTGCAGTCTTAAATGTGGCTAAATACAAATTAATGTGAAATGCAAACTGAATGTGCTTACATGCGCAGGAGAGGTTTGTGCATGCACTGATATGACTTGACTTCTCATGTTCATGAAGGACTCCATTTAAGAAGCCCTTGTTTGTGCTGACCTGAAGGATCTCTCTCTGAGGCTGGAAGGGGTACTTTCTGGATTATAGTTCATGAATCCACCAACCTATTGCTTGGAGATTTTGGGAGTAGTAGCTCAAAATTTTTCTACATGGGGTGGGTAAGTGGGCGGGTGGATCTGCCCCATCTTTATCAACAAGTGCACCAGTAGTGAAGTCAGCTGATGTGAGCACCATAGTGTCTGGTGATTGACGAAACAGTTACCAGGCACCATGGTACAGCCTCCTTCCTGTGGAACATTATTGTTTTGAAAAGTCTATGTAAATCAGGATCTTTTGCAAATATAATAAATTTGTCCTTTTTAACATGCTTGGAAATCTTCTTTGCGTATCGTTGCAGTGCTGTTCCTGTTCCAAGAGTTCACTTTCACACCTTATCAAAAAAACATTGTTTCAACCTGTAAACGTAACACAACAGGAGAAAGCTCATGGAATTCCTCTTGCTTGGTTTTTAAGATGCATGACTATGGAACCCTCATGGACTAGAACAAGCAGTTTCAGTCCTGAAGAATCGTATTTTATTGAGGAATCCATCCAGAACTAGACTCACAGTGTAGGCAGGCATTCTGTACCATACCAGCAGGGTCTGAAGTTTCAGACATCGGTCATGTACATTTTATTTCCTAAAACAAACAGAAACAGTTGTGACAGAAATACCCTAGCATATCCACTGCTTTTTGCTACTCAGTTTCTTTCTTAGTACCAGCCAATGTAATGTGGTGAGACCAAATACTGTGTCTCTCCGCTGAATGATGATGATTTGGTAAACATGATGCAGAGACGTTAGGTACTTTAGTTGCCAGGCAAGTTCATTCCAGGTGGCCTCGAGATACATTGGGATTTTCATTGGAGTCAATAGATACAAGAAGTGTATATGAGATCCTAGTTGCAATCTTCCTAATGCTATCAGTGAATATATTGGGATCATGCAGTGCTCTGCAGAAAAGGGTTGCTAAGGATCAAGAGATCATTACAAAACACAACACAAAAATAATAATGCTTATATTCTTAAACTTTGCCATCTAAATTAAAATACAGTGGTGCCTCGCTTAGCGATGTTAATTCGTTCTGAAAAAATCGCTGCTAAGTGATAACATCACTAAGCAAAAATAAAAAGCCCATAGAAACGCATTAAAACGTGATTAATGTGTTCCTATGCGCTTTAAACTCACCTTTAAGCGAAGATCCTCCATAGCGCCGCCATTTTCGGTGCCTCTAAAGCAAGGAATCCGTGCCTGAAAACAGCGGGCGGCCATTTTGTTTACCCGGCAGCCATTTTGAAACCACCGATCAGCTGGCCGAAAATGGGGGTCTTTGCGATGATCGCTTCCCTGCGATCACCGCAAAGCGAAAATAGTCCATGGGGAACATCACAAAGCGATCGCTTTTGCGATCGAAAAAACAGCATCGTTAAGCGATTTCACCGTAAAATGGAGGGACCGCTATGCGAGGCACCAGTGTATATAAAATTAGAGCGGTCTGGAGATAAACAATTAGGTTTTGCCTGAGTTATTTTGAAAACGTAGTTGTGAGCAAAGTGAGATGGGCGGAGGGTGCTTTCCTGTGGAAGCAACTTTAAACCAATACAGTGAGGAGACATGCAGCCATTGACAGGAACCTCAATGCCTGAGAAGATCCAAAGCACACACCTAGTTCAACACCAGACCTTCCAGTGTGTTGTAAATTAAAAGCAGCTCATCAGTTTCCCTCTTCACTTAAGCCCTGTTCAGGTGCAATGCCTGCAAGTGCACAGAGGGACTAAATGGGTGTAATAAACGCCACTTCCAGTGCTGTCTCCCAGAAATCACTTTGACCATCACATGTTCAGCACAAAGGTCTGTAGAGGAGCTGATAAGGCATTTAGCTAAGTGTACTTACAGTGCTCCTGTAATTAGAAGCCCAGACTCCTGATAGTTTGAGCTCTGTAAAGCACTGATGTCCACACTCACTGAGCAATGCTTGACTTCTTGGGGGGAGCACAATAGGGCTGCTCATATGTGTTCCCATCACACTCTATTGGCCTTCAGGCAGAATAGGGCCACAGGAGCATAGGTCAAAGTGGGAAGTATAAAATGTAGGACATAGGAAGTTCCTTTATATTGTGTCAGAGCCACCAGTACTCTCATCCAGTGCTGGCCATTCTGGCTGGCTGCAGTTCTGCCATGGTTCAGGCAAGGCTCTTCACAAGCCTTCCAAACCCATTCTAGGTAGTCTTCCACGTTTTAATCAGATGCAGCCCTGCTTTGCTTCTGAAAGTGAACAAGGTTGGTATGTTCAGAATGGAATGGTGGGAGAGAATGAGCGCTTTGCTCCAGATTAAATGTATTGATGACATTTGAGAATTCAATATATCCTACTGGAAATTATTTCTTCTCCAAATATTGGCTAGATGCCCCTTTGTACTCCACTCCACTTTACCTTCATCTGATGCAGGATGTCTCCAAGTAGGGCCAAGAAAGCAGTATTACATGCTACCTAGTATTGGACCAAAGTTTCAGTTACAGTCAACCATGCCCTTCTGACTTTGTATCGGTCAGGAATCTACTGCAACTTGTTAGTAAAAATATTATGTGAAATGCTGTATATATAACAATCTTTATACTGATGATGTTTTATTTTTTAACAAACCGGTTGCCAGTAAAACCTTTGGAGTTGAAGATCTTACAACTATACCCTCAGAAGGTAGTAAAACTGACTATTGGCTTTTGTTGCATTAATGCCCTCTGTTTGACCCAGCCTGCCTGCTCTGTTCTAATGAAGACTGCACAGATGCAAAGCACGAAAGCGTAGTGTGTTATTTATAACCTGTTTTGTTGTGATTACAATATGAGGTTTTATTTTACAAAAACAAAGATACAATAAAGCATGAATGCCAAAATCAGAAGAACGCAGAAAAATATTTTTTTTCTGCTGTGTCGCAGAGCCTCCTAGAGGATTAATGAATTATTGCAACTACTACATTAAAAATTTATCTGAAACTCATTAAGACTCAGTAGGGGACGTGGTGGCGCTGTGGGCTAAACCGCAGAAGCCTGTGCTGCAGGGTCAGAAGACCAAGCAGTCGTAAGATCAAATCCATACTGTGAGTGAGCTCCCGTCGCTTGTCCCAGTTCCCGCCAACCTAGCAGTTCGAAAACATGCAAATGCAAGTAGATTAATAGGAACCACCTTGGTGGGAAGGTAACAGCGTTCCGTGTCTAAGTCGCACTGGCCATGTGACCACGGAAGATTATCTTCGGAAAAAAACGCTGACTCTATGGCTTGGAAACGGGGATGAGCACCGCCCCCTAGAGTTGAACACAACTGGACAAAAACTGTCAAGGGGAACCTTTACCTTTACCATTAAGACTCAGTTCTTCAAAAAAAGAGCTCCAGTTTATTGTACTTCTCAATTCATGAATCAGAATACCAGGAAATGCCTCAATATTGCTGCACAATATCATGTCCACATTTGCCAGGTGGAAAAATGATGCCATAGCAAAAGACATCCTGAATGTTGACATCAATAGCAGCAGTCAAGATCTACAGTATGCCCTCCCGTGCTCGCTACCATTCAGAAAGAGACACCAAAAAGGGAAAATCTGTTAAGCACTACTCACCCAAACTCAAAGCAATTGCCAGGGCTGTTTTTCAACAAGTTTCCTTGGCATTTATTGCTTGGAGCCACAAAATAAAATCCTTAGAAGAAATGTTTGCTTAGATTAACTGTGTGAACTCAAGTACATGTCTGTGAAGCTGGATTGCTATTTTTAAAATTTGTTCTTGTTTGTTTTAGCCATTCCCCAAGTGAGATGTTTCAGAAGGCTCCAGCAAGCACTTCCCATGCCCCCAAAAAGCAAAGGAAAAAAATCTGCTAAAGAAATGTTTAAACACACAGTGCTCCTCACCACTGGGACCATGACGCAACCCTTGTGGAGTCCCATCATCATTTCAGCATTGTATTGACTCTTGTGTTGGGCTTTGTTCCTTCTGCTTTATTGATACAAATTCAATAAATTCTCCCCATATATCTATGAATACATACCTGCCAGTTATCCCCTCTTAACTTTTATATTACATGTATGTTTATGACAGCTATATCCCAAACTTCCCTATACCAATCGCTTAATTGGAAATTATAATATGTGTTCTGATTCCTAGCAATAATCAATCTCATTGCTGTTAACAAACTGATTCTTTAGTTGTCCAATTACCTACATCCTTTTCAAATATTGATAAAAGTGCTAGTTTAGAACACAGCTAAATTCAACCAATTTCATTAATTTCCCTTAAAAAAATTGCCATTTATTTTCACATTCCCACCACATATGAAAGTAAGTACCTACCTTCTTGCATCCTGTCCAGCACATCTTGAAATAATTATCATCTACTTGATTTTGCTTCACTGGAATTAATACCATCTCTAAACTAACTTATACAAATTATTTATCCTTATTAACATTGATTTCATTGACATTCTAGTATTTCATATGCTGCTCCAAGCACTAGAACTTATTTCTTCTTCCATTTCAAATTCCCATGAAAATTTCAAGTCCTCCTGATTTTCTGCTTCCAATAATGTATTATAAATTTTATGTACCCTTCACAACATTTTTTCACCTTCACTTTCCTGTTTTAATATAATTCCTTCATATTTCATAAACCTTCCACATTACCATTTAATTTGAAACAATTCTTTGCCCACTGTTCTAGTTCAATAATATTATACTTGCACGATTCCACCCACCGCTCATGAGTTTTCATCACAACCAGAACCAAGGGGGCTGAAAATGATAATTGTGGGTGAGCAGAGGAGGAATGCTGCACGGAGGGGGCAGTCAAGTGGGAGGAGGTACACACCTTAAGAGAGAACCTTGCCTATCACTTATTTTTTATTCTTTATTTTTTCTAATCCTTTATTCTAATAACTGGCCTGTTTATTAATACATTCTCAAGCAATCATTTAGGGTTCCTGGAATTTTCTCCAACTCTTTTACCAGATATAAAAGGGAAATTGGCGGGATAAGTATTTTTTATTTATATATCAACTCCAAATATTTATTTATTTATTTATTTATTCATTTTATTTATTCAATTTTTACCCCACCCCTCTAGATAACGTTTACTCGGGGCGGCTTACAAAAATTAAAACATATTAAAACAATGTAGAAAATAACTAGCATAATGCAATTATTATAATTCATACTATCCAAGATGGCAACATTAAGAACCAGAAAAAAAGGGGGGGAGTACTTAGGTGACGGGGGGGGGGAAGGCCTGTCTGAATAACCATTTTTTTAGTTGGTTTTTGAACACACCCAGGTTACCAGATATAAAAGGGAAATTGGTGGGATAAGTATTTTTTAATATATAAATTCCAAATAAGAAGCATATTTCTAAGAAAGGGATTTTCTATATTTTTTACAATATTTTTATTTTCTTGTATAAAGAGAATATTTACAAGATTCAAATGCAATTCTTATTTTCATATTCATCCAAATTAATTTTTGACTGAAACATAGTATCTGGCATATGTCTTATTTGACCGGATATATAATATAGCCTTAAATTGGGAAGTTGTAATCCTCCAACTTTTTGAAATTTATAGCATCCCCTTTTATTAATTCTTGACTTCTTCTCATTACAAAATTTATTAATCACGTTTTGCCAGTCATTTAACTGTTCTTCACTAATCTTTATCAGTAACATCATAAATAGAACACTTATCTTAAGTACTGTAGTATCTTCCTTTTGGATGCTGCGATTCTGTTGAACTATGACAATCCAACTTCTCTTAAATCATCAAACTTACTTTTAATTACTTCTTTCAATATTTTAAAATTCTCTTCTTTCAGTTTTTCCAAATTAGCTGAGATATTTATATCTAAATACTTAATCGTCTTTCACACTGTTGATCCTGACATAGTAGAATATTGACTTTATACTTGTTTGCTCCTGAGACAGAATGCTTCATCCTACCAAACACTAAGCCTGATTCTGCTTCCAAGGCTGCTAGCATTTTGTTGTAAAGAAAATTATATTTGTTTTGAAAAAAAGCAGCATGAGGAATTTTTAAAAACGTATTTTTTATTGTTCAAGTAGTACAAAATATTTATACGAACCATACTCTTAAAGTTTATTTAATGCATATGTATGTGAAAGCGGCATTTAATTTTAGTATTATGTATAATTCAATCATGTGGACACAGCATCTTGTATTGTAAGAAAGCCATGAGGCCTTCTTTTTAAGACACAATTCAGTGTTTGGTCAGCAGTAGGAGGAGGTGGTATATACATTAATTTCTGAATGAAGATTTCCTAAACAGATGTTCAAGGCAGTCTGTTCTGGCACAGCTGGCAATAAATTTTGAGGTGCCTACAACCAGCCTCTCCTCAATAAGTGCTAAATAAATTGGCTGTTGAATATAGGATTTCCTCTACTGATGTATCCCTTTATATATGCTCACTTGCATGAGCAAAAATCCTGTTTCCACATATAGATCAGCCTCTAGAACAGAGGCTCCATCTTTTGTATCCATTACCACTTTGATAAAGTGCAACGGCATTATGAAATATTATTTATTAAATATTGGCCTACGTTGTAAGGGCAGTATTTTACCCTCTGAAAAAGCTTCTCCCAACTGCTCTTATCTGTTTCAACGCTATCTTAGTACTGCAGGGATGCTGGCAATATTTTTAACATGTTGCTTATGTGATCTTAGCAATTAGGCATAAGTGAGATTAGGGCCTAAGTCCCATTAAAATCAATAGACATTGGTCATAATTATCATTTCTTCTACTTTTGAAGTTCAGAGAGTTAAAATGGCACCCAACAACCACAGAAGAGAGGTATTATAACTAAGAAGTTAAAAACCCTTTAGAAATACCCTAACCAGGAACCCCTCCGAACAGTTTACGTAATGAACTAAGCATGTTCAGCGGCATCAAAATCCTTTCTGGCTGTTGGAAAGCACAGAAAACCAAATGGGATGGGAAATGAAATAAAACAGACTATTATGAAAGGGAGGTGCTCTACTGGAAATGTTATTTATTTATTGGTTGAATTTTTATTCCACCCGATTGGTGAAAAACATTACTATGGGCAGTACACGTGTTAAAAAGACAAAACCTCATCTTCCCTGTCTCCACTCCAACTGCAGGTCTAGGTTTAGCAAGAAATATAATCATAATTGTTACAACAGAATAATTATAAGGCAACAACCAGAAAAAGAGAAAGATCAGAATACAAAGTGTTATGGATTACAAAATTCCTGCCTATGGGATTATTCTCATCAGAGCTATTGTAGAAAGTTCTGCCTTTGTTAGTTTTCTAAAGCCTCAAAGAAAGGGGGCCTGGCACTTTTCTAATACAGTGGACCCTCTACTTATGGAATTAATCCGTATTGGAACAGTGGCTGCAAGTCGAAAAGTCTGTAGGTCGAATATCCATTGACCTACAAAGCATTGAAAACCGATTAATCCCATAACCAGCGGTTTTTATTCTATTTTTGTTCCATTTTGGTTTTTTTCTGGTCTGTAAGTCGATTCTCTGGCTTCAAGTCGAATCTAAATTTTGTGGCCAGAAAAGTCTGTAACTCGAAAAGTCTGTAAGTCGAGCCGTCTGTAAGTCAAAGGTCCACTGTAGAAATTTATTCGACAGGGATGGGGCCACCACCAAGAAGGCCCAATTCCTTATTAACACCCTTCTTACCTCTCTTGGTGTGGCCACCCTCAGTAGTAACGCCTGAGAGGAATGGGTGAAACAGTTTTTGGTTTTGGTTTTTTATGGAGAAGACATTCTAACAAGTATCAAGGTCTCAAACCATCAGGTTCCTGTAGGTCAAAGCCAGCACCTTGAAATGTTACACTGTGCCACTTCTGCCCCATTACATTTCAATGGCACTTTTATGTAATAGAGTTTTTTGGGGTATAGCCCATAGCCATACTGAAAACATTGTAAGATCAGTACTATATCACAGTCAAATAGAAAGCCAATTTGAACCGTGGCAATGCCTTACCTGTTCTCTATTTTCATTCATTCAGATCTCCTCCCATTAACAATCACAGCAGAGGCAATTGCACAACACAATTTTTGCAAAGAGGGCCTCTGAATACAGTACCTCACTGTATAACTGTGTCTTAAATGTTTCAGGTTTCTAGAAATAAATGCATATTTCTAACCAAATTGTACCTTTATTTAAATTATCTTTTAGAGTATAGTATATTTTGCCTTATATTTTTATTCTGAAGCAATTAATTGTGACTAAGAAGGACTGATATTTAATAAAACTTCAGTTCTTCAAAGCCCACACAAGGGTTTCTGTTTTCCCTTTCAAATTTAAAAAAGGAAAGATGTTAAATCAAATGCAGCATTTTCAAAATATGTTTTGCTTTAAACATTATCTCTTGCACTTTTACTATAGGCCTGTTTCAGTTTCACTAAACCAAATTTGAATTTTATATGTATATATGTTAATATGCCTGAGTGGTCCATTTTTTGCTAAATAGAAAACAAAGACAGAGAAAGAATCAAATTGATTCACAAGAATCAAATCCTCTGAATCAAACTTCCACTTTTGCTCAGTTTTATGTTATTATGCTTTTACTTATGCTAATACCAAGATTCTTTCTCATCTGGATATCTTACATATTTAGTCATACACAAACCGAAAATCCACTACAAAATAATTCCTTTTTCATACAGCCTCTAACAGAGTTGGTATTGGCCCAGTTCATGCAAACTTGGTGCCAGTGTTTCCCACATATTTCTAAAGACCACTTGAATTTAGCTTTTGAAATTCCAGTAGTGGCACCATTTTAAAGAAACCAGAACAAAGTCTGACTTTACGTTTTGTTTGAAAAAGTATCAGCAACTCAAAGAGGAACAATTTAAGATCAGTATATGCACAAAGATACAAACTGGTTCAATAGTTGTTCATTTACATGTCCACCAAGTAGATTAAGGTGCTTCAAGATGTAGAATTTAACACAGCATTTGTGAAATCTCATCAGCTGGCTGTGTTTAGGCAGAGTGTACATGGATTAAAGATGCAAACAGCATTGCTTGCTATACATGGCGAAGACTACTTTGAACATAAAACTAGTAATTATGGAAATATCCTCAGAAAATATAATTAAGTAGTGCTTAATTTAGTGATCACTAGTATTCTAACACTCAATTTAGTCCAAAACATGTCTCACAACTGGTCCTCTCCCATGTTGTTCTCAGAGTTGGGACAAGATTTTAGTTCTTAAGAAACTGAGCAACACATTTGCACTGAACTCCACAGCAAATGTATTTTGGCAAACTGTTTGTTTCATTAGGTTCTACTTTATTAGGAGTAAAAACACATAATAATTTATATATAAAATTGCTGACCATATAATCCAGGAGTCTTCAAATTATTAAAATATCATCATATTTTAGTTATTAAAAATATTAATTACCTGGGATCAAACCCTGCATACAGTCAGTCACATAATGCACAACAATAGTGCATTTACACATGCCTCTTTGAAGAGACATTAGTCTCCCAGTTTTGAATTTTTCCAATTATATTGTGCATTTTTCTAAAAGCCTTCATCTGCAAAGGAAGAGAAACAGAAGTATGCATTACTAAAAGGATTAAGTTGCCAGTTTCCAATATTTAGCAATTTTTTAAATAAAATCAAAATTATAGCTCACTTTGATGGACTAGATAATACGTAATAGAAATCTTCTGAATCCTGTAGTTTAATGTGAATGTTTTCTAGGGACACTATACATACACAATGCAAAAACATCTAGATATTGAGAAAATTACATAAAAAGCAGCTTTTAAAAAATTAATCAAAATACAGTGGTACCTTGCTAGATGAATGCCTCGGGCAACGAAAAACTCGCAAGATCAAAGCGTCTTGCGAGTTTTTAGGTGCCCCGCAAAATGAAGATATTTTCCCCCACAACCACCGCTTTCAGAGGTCTCCTGGCCTCTGAAGACTTCCCCAGTACCATTTTTGAATTTCCCGCCAAGCCTCCGAATGGAAAAAGGCAGGGGAAAAGGGCAGGAAATTCAAAAATGGTGCAGAGGCTTGCCCAGCACCATCGGAGAACTGCCGGGGGACCTCTGAAAGCGGCAGTCACGGTTGCGGGGGACCCCTGCCAGTCCTCCAATGGTACTTCCCCAGCTCCCTACCTGGTAAGTGACTTTTTCAGAGTTTTTTGGCCCATAGGAACACATTAATTAAAATGCAATGCATTCCTATAGGAAAACATGCCTCGCAAGATGAAAATTTTGCAAGACGACAGGACTCGCGGAACAAATTATTTTCGTCTTGCGAGGCACCACTGTAATGTTCTTCGTGTTATATAATTTAGTTTTAAAATAAATGTGACTAGAAATGGGATATCTGCAGCCCTCCCAATATTGTGAGACTAGAATTCTCAGCGATAAGTAACCAGGAAAACTGAAGGTCACAAACATCTGAAGAGTCATTGATTACTCATCTGTGCTTTATGGAACTTATACTTTAAAGCCTTTTTTGAAGCTCAATACAGATGCCTCAAACCTCAAACAGCCTGGATATCCTTGGTAGTGATCCTGCTGGGTTAAAAGTACTGCCACTAAATGCTAGGTCAGTAAAAGGTAAAACAGCAGCCATCCACAATCAAGTCATGGATGGGCATGCTGACCTAGCCTGTATTGTGGAGATTTGGTTGGATGAAGCTGGAGCAAGTTACTTTTTTGCAGCTTTGCTCACCTAGGTTCTCTGTGTAGCAAGAGCAAGAGTGGGGGGAGGGGCGCAGTAGAACTGAAATGGTCTATATCAGTGGTAGCAAACCTTTTTGGGCTCACGTGCCCAAATTGGAGTGGGGGAAACAGTGGGCGGAACTGGAAGTGGCAGTGGAAGGGGGAATCACGGACACGGAAGTGCCTCAAGACCCCACTCTGTATTTGCCACCAGCACTAGCTGCTCCGGATGCTGACCTGCCATCTGTCTGGGCACCAGCACCGCAGTTGCAGCCACCTGCTCAAGTTTGGCTGTGGGGAGGGGAGGGGGAAGTAGCGATCCGGCAACTTATGGCTCACATGCCGGCAGAAAGGGCTCTGCGTGTTTTCATGGACAGATCACTAACTAGTGGGGAAAGACCATCTCTCAATCCCACCACTATCTCAGGCATATCTGGCGAGGTTCCAAGAGAAGGTATTTTTTGTGGCTGCTCCCAATCTATGGAATTTTCTGCCTCACTGGGCTAGACTGGTTCCACTCCTTACAAGCCTTCTGCCACCAAGTGAACACCTTCCTTTTAAATTGGCTTTTGACCTCTACTTCCTCGCAGCATTGTGCTTTTAGTAGGCGGATGCAGTATGTTTTTCCAGGTATTTTACATTTGCCTTAAACTTGTAAGAACTAATGATATTTTCAATATCATTTGGGTTTAATTTTATTTTAATGTTAATGTTTTAATTTATTGTGATTTTAAATATAAGTATTTTTGTTGTTGTACGCCATCTTGTGTCTCTTTATTTGGATAAAGATGGGAAAGAACGAAAGAAAGAAAGAAAGAATGTTGTTATACACCATCTTGTGTCTCTTTATTTAGATAAAGATGGGAAAGAAAGAAAGAAAGAAGAGAAAGCCCAAGACCTTCTTGTCCCTGTCACCAAATCTCACCAGCACCACTGCTACTGCCAATACCATAACTGTTGAAAACACTGCAATCCCTCCCCCCCCCGTTAACTTATGCAGGGGGGGGAGAACTGTCACCATTCCCATCTTTTCTCCTTTCATATTTTCTGGTGTCTCTTAGGCTAATGGCTACTCATGTAAACTCTTGCCAGAGTGTCTGATAGCACAGAGTTACAAGTATCATTAGTTAAAACAAGTTATAGCAAATATAAAATACCTGATAAAATATGCTGATAAAAATATGCAGCATCCCACAACTAAAGTATGCAGAAGGTACTGCGGGAGAAACTGACAACTGTTCCCTGAAAGTTCTGTTGTCCCTGTCCTTGGAGCAGCGAGTCCTGCTCCTTCTGGTGGAAAGTAATTGGATGTACTATTAGCAAGACGCAAGGAGGGCTGTGTGAAGAAACAACGTGAGGAGAAAGGGTTTTGAGAAGAAAAGAAATAATGATGTTCCAATGTCCTGCTGCTCTTGTCTATGGAATTTTAATTTTTAAGGATGCAGCCGTTAAAAGCCGGTTCGAGTCCCTTGTTGGGAGAAATGTGGCATATTCGTTAAAAGCCGGTTTGAGTCCCTTGTTGGGAGAATGTGGCATATAAGTAAATAGAACTAATAATAATTAAAAGGTCACCCAACATCAAAACAGACATCAGTCTCAAAAAGGTTTCCAGCTCTGGATTAAAACCATGCCGTACTGACCTCACTTTGGGTCTTCACAACTTTCTCTGCCTGACTGTTGCTCAGAACTAGATCTCATCTTCTGCCTTTCCTTGGTAGGAGTACAATGCAGTTCTTCTGATTCCTGTTTGGCAGCAGGCGTGACTGTCACCTCTTTAGAGCTTTCTTTGACTGGAGTAGCTGGCATTGCTCCATTGACATCTGCACCACTGACAGACATCACATTTTTACGTTCCTTTGAATTAGATTTGTGTCCCACCTTTGTAACTCTAAATCTGGAAATAAAAATGATACATGAGCAATTTAGGCATATAAATTTTCCAGAAAAAAATTAATTCCTCCCTGTCAGGTATACTTTCACACAAATGAAATTTACTGAAGCACACTTTACTGAAACCTGAAGATGTTCATTATAAAGGAATTAAACTGAATTTTTGGCAATTTGTTCAGCCACTCACCCTCTACAGCATTTCGGAGAATAGGAGGTATTGCAGGCACTAGTGGGGGCCCTACAGCAAAGATATCAGCCACTGATGTTCAAGAGAAAGCTTTGACACCATTTTAGGGGTGCTTAAATAGAACTGAGTGGGTGCAAATCATATGCCTCCTTTTGTCTTGCACATTTTCATATGATTTTATGAAATGGCAAGAACTAGGGCTAAAGAAGTATAATCCCAGATGATAATTTTATTTTAGAAATCAAACCACACAGACATGATAAGTTAAATATTTTGTTCCCTAACACTGCTGATAGTAGAAATCTGACAGTAAATTGTAGGAATCACAATGCTTTTTATTTTTTGAAGAAATCAACTTATCTTTTCAATACCAGTTTCATCACCCATTAATTACATGACACAATCACAACCGGACCAATTTTATATACAGCCTGACACTTGTAACAAGGACAAAAGTAGCACATCATAATTGGCCCGTGAAAATGATGCCAGAGGGACGCACCTTCCCACAGACAGCACAGTGACTTCTCCATGCCTGGCTCTTCTTGCTTCTTTAGATTTTCTATTTGGACTGAAAATCTGCCATCTCTTATGAGTGCAGCGACTGCAAGCACCTGTCCCCGCAATTCCACCAACTGTATGCAGGTGATGGCCTTGACAAGTATGCTTTAGCTGAGAACCTCCAGGCGAGGAAGGAGAAACTGGACTTGTTGGACTGCCGGGGCTGCCTGGAGTAGTAGGGCTATTATTTAGGATTTGAAAAAAGAAAAGAAAAAGAAAACAATTACCACAGCAAAGGTACACAATAAATGAAACATCTCTGCTTTTCCTCTCTTCTGCCCCTATTATTTCGAACACTCTCCAGAACATTTGTGTGCCACTATTTCTCTGCTGTTCATGCCAACTCTGCCAGAGTGTTTCTAGGAGAGACAGAGCTGCATTTCTGTCACCCTTGCACAAAACAGTTGGGTAATTTTTTTTAAGTCTTTACTCCCTGAAGAAATTAAGGGTGCACCTTAGAAATCCTTTTCGAAGAGGAACAGCAGAGCATTTTTTTTTTTTGCAAGAAGTCCAATTTCTTTCTTTGCAATATAAGCAAGAAGCATTAATGCCAGCGAACTGAATGATATTTTATTTACCAGTTTTGTCCTTCTTTCAATCCCTATAGTGCCACATGCACTTTTATTCATTCCAATGTTTATTCATATCCTTTTGTATAAGGGATACAGTGCATATGTATATAATACTAAAACAAGTTCCAAAACCGGAGCAAAGGGGAAAGGGGGAGAAATAGGTTTTTGCCACCACTGACAACAACTAAACCACATCATGGATAGCTTGCCTCTGAAAACACCTTCACAGAATAGTCATTATGCAGTTCCACCCCTCAAAATGAAATCATCGATATATCCCTAACTCAAAGCATGTGTAAATGGATCCATGTTTATTTTTCCTGCTATCCTTAACTCTATCTTTCTTTTCCTCCATTTATTTTCCCTTCTTCTAAAGTTTAGAAATCAAACTCCTTCAGGAAGAGGGCTCAGTTTTTGAAATTCCTGCTTATGCTACTCTGTAAGGCATCCACCATATTGATTATGTGATTATATATGTTGTTGTTTAGTCATTAAGTTGTGCCCAATTCTTCGTGACCCCATGGACCAGAGCATGCCAGGCCTTCCTGTCTTCTGCTGCCTCCCGGAGTTTGGTCAAAGATTATATATGTACACATACTTAAATATATAAAGATATATCTTTTTTGTGAAGCCACATTGCTATTTTCAGCTTAATGAGGCATGAAGGCATCTCAGTCAGCTTTTTAAAACAGATGCATGAATGCCAAATTAACATCTCACTGGCAGATTTTAAAGATCAGGGAAAGTCAATAACTGTTTCTTGGAACAACTTGAAAAATATTTAGCATCTATAGCCGTCTTTGGTTCACTGCAGAATTATACAAATGATATTCTTTAAAGCAGGTTGCGAAAGAGAAAATACATTACAATAAAAAAATGCTTCACCTTTCAGGATCATAGACAGAGGTATCAGCCACCATGGCCTTCAGTATATCAGCATTAGCTATAAGAATTACAAAGTGTATTTAATGCTTTGGGGATCAATCATTTTCCACACAGTTTGCTCAATGTATGTTTTAAACAAATTAGTAAGCAGCAAGAAAAAAAGCTATAAACAAAATTAATTTGATTTAATCAGAAACTGTTTTGAGTCACTGAGAATAATATTTATTTGGTTGCGATCCTATTATGCACCTACCCAGGAGCAAGTCCCATCAGTGGGATAAACTTCATATAGAGAAAGGCATACATAAGATGGTAAAAAAAACCAAAGGATAAATTCTGTACTATGCAAAGCCTTAAAAGCAGATCCATGTGTTCAGAGTAACTACAGCCCTATCCAGGCATTGTGAAAATGTCTGGAGAATATGAATGAGGAGGAGAACACACTAAGCCCTCCAGTTTCCAGTGTCACGTTAATCCAAAAGTAACAGTATGAAGAGGAGAATGCTGTTGCATCTCCGTAGGCAGGACCCCAATTTTATGATATTTTGGTTCACATTCAATGCCTCCCCATCTTCAGACTTGCTTTTACATACCGAAAGCTGAATGAGATGGTGCGGCTAGCATAGTCCCCACATCACATGCACTCTACACACTATCAGAACACCTGAATATTGGTTATGTGTTGTGCCCTTCTTCTGGGGATATACGCTGCTTCCAAAGAGAGGTGGGAAGAGTACATGTTTGAATGTCTCACACAGCAAGACTTGCTACTGAGAAGGCTGGCATGTCAAAGGACTGATCTGTTTTTAAGCCAACCTGTTTTTAATGTAAATTTGTCAAATGATATTGTTGTATATTCTGCAATGACACAGTTCTATCCATTTCAAAATAGACAGTGCTTTCCCCACTTCAGTCACTGCTGTTGATGAGAAATAAGCTGGTGAGACTTTACCACTCATTAGCCACTATCCTATGCAGCTTCTACTGAGTGGAAAATCCCAACAGCACAGTGCTGCCATAGGTATTGCCCCTGCACAAAAGAAAATGGATTTTCTTTATAAGGCTTACCATCACCTGACCAATGTTATGCAAATGGTGTGACTTCACATTACCAAAATGGCAGGACTTGCCACACAGCAGAAGCTCAATAAGATACTGGCCACTGTTGCTTTTGGTTTGATCTGTCACAAAGTGTTTAGGCCTTCACTTTAAAAAAAATCAGAAATTCAGAATTCAGCTAAATTGCTTTGAATACCACAGAGGCAATGAGGCAACAACCCTCGTCATAAATGTTAATGAATTAGAAGACAACTACTGTAACTAGACTAATTATTTCTGTAGTTGTTAATAACATGGAAAACATTCCTACAGTGGTGCCCTGCATGACAATGATAATCTGTTCTGTTAAAATGGCTGTACAGCGAAATCGTCGTCATGCGAAAGAAAAACCCATTGGAATGCACTGAAAACCGGTTAATGCGTTCCAATGGGGAAATACCTCATTGTCCAGCGAAGACTGCCCATAGAGAACGGCTGATCAGTTGTTTAAAACTGCTGTTTTGTGAAGCTTCTGTCCGGAAAACAGCCATTTTGCGAAGGGAAGCCAGCCATTTTGTGAAGGGAAGCCATTTTGCGGAGCTGGAAAAAATGAAGGGAAGCCATATCGCAGAGCCGGAAAAAATCATTGTTTTGCAAACAAACGGTTCGTAAAGCAAGGACCTAATCAACGTAAAGCGAAAATCCCCCATAGAAAACATTGTTTTGCAATCGCAATTGTGATTGCAAAAAAGTCCTCATCAAGCGATTTTGTCATTTAACAGGGTAAGCGTCTAGCAGGGCACCACTGTACTTGTATACAGTATTACATTTTTTAAAAGTTTAAAGTCTTAAGCTGTACATTTGTATCCTAAAAAGTACAGCTATGACCTGCAACAAAATGTTTCCACATTGGCATTCAAGGCAACAAGCCATGTTTTCTGGCAGGTTACTTATTCCATTACCATCACTGTTTTTATGCTTCTCAACCCCAATCAGCCAGCTCTCTATGTCTTCTAAGCATGTTCAGTCCTCAATTGGCTGCTGTTGGGTGTTTATTTGTTTGACATCTGCAAACCTTAACACTTTCTCTTGTTTCTGTATGGCTACATAGCAGAAGTGAGTTTGCATGCAAGTAGACATTGTCTAGAGGGGCGGGGTAAAAATCTAATAAATAAATAAATAAATAGTATTAGTATACTTTTGCAAGTTCAGTATGTGTTCCTACAAAAGTTGTATATTTATTTATCCAGAGCTATAAGCCCCACTTTTGATGAGTAAACAGATACAAGATTTCACTTTTGGAGCTTCCATGGAATGACGAGCAACAACGAAAAAATACTAATACTAAGATGCAAACTCACTTCTGCTATGTAGCCATACAGAAATAGGAGGAAGTGTTAAGGTTTGCAGATGTCAAATTATTTATAACTAAATATATAAAGCACATACCTTCATTTTTCATAATATAGTCAACAATTTGTCCCACAGTGTCACCATTATCATTAGTAGTTTCGTTCAGCTCTGAAAACAGAAACAAAAAATTGACCCATGTTCTCATATATTCCTGGAAAGTCATAAAATACTTTTAAAAGAAAGCATGACAACAGAATTCCACAAAAATAACATATGAATAATATATGAGGCAAAAATCAAAGCAATCACCTTTGTAAACTATCATTTATATTCTCTAACTGAAGAGCTGAATCCAAGCTGAAAAGTCCACATGTAGATGACAAATGAAAAAAATGTAACAGGTGCAGACTGTGCATATCCCTGTCTGTCTCAAGATTTTGATCCTTCCCCAGAGCTAGACCAAGACTTTGGACACCCATATTCAAGTCTACACTAGAGTGACACATTCTCCAACCAAAGACTGAAGCAGAAAGTGCATGTTAGGGGGGAAAAAACAACCGAGAGGGAGCCAAAATCTGACAGTGATACTGCTCTCTTCTTCAAGACCTGGCTAATCCAGAGGCTTCCTATTGCCTTCCGAATAGCAGAAGCTGATGCAGCATGCAGCTACTGCCTTCTCTACCCAAGTGCACAAAAAGTCTCAGTTAAAGGTCAAAGACAGGTTAAAGTTGCAAAATACAAGATACCTAGGTCAAGACTCTGAGTCTGGCAATTTTAACTTTGACATACCCCAAGATATTGTTTTCTTCCTTCCAAAATGGTACCCTGGCCTTTGTAAGAATGCCTTGCCTACATGAGGGCATGCCTTAGAAACTACCCTGCACAGTCAGCCTTTCTATATGCTCATTATTCATCTAAAGCCCACATATGCTGGGATATAGAAACTTTGTTTAAGACAGGGTTGTGGAGAGCGTGGGTCTCCAGAGGTTGTTCTATTTATGCTACTATCATCCTTCACCACTGATGATGACAAGGGCTGACAGCAGTACAAAAACATGTGGATTGGCACATGTGTCATACACCTAGCTTAAAGGCTACGTTTACCTAAATTCTCACTTCCAATTGAGTGTGCCTAAGAGATTAAACTTGACATCGCTGCACTAGCACCTAAGGAACAGGAAAAAAAGAGCTTACCCTCCTGTAACCATGGTCCTTCGAGTGGTCTTCTGTGAATCCACACAATTGAGTATTACTGCGCCTGCGCAGGACCTCTTGGACGTTTCCAGAGCTTAAAAACATGTGATTAGAAGGACACTCCCCCATGGAGCGCATGCTCCACCCAGCAGAGACCTCCTCAGTTCCCTAAAGTCCACTGCTATCAGAGGTAAGTGTAGATGACAAATGACGGACAGAGGGGAGGATGGGTGGGATGGGTGGATTCACAGAGGACCACTCAAAGAACTATGGTTACAAGTAGGTAACCTCTTTTTCTTCTTCGTGCTCGCTGTGAATGCACACAATTGGGTGACTAGCAAGCTCACTTACCGGTTGGTGGGACGTCACTGAAGTAAGGAGGTTAGGACACCTCGGCCAAAGGCTGCATTACTCTTTGCTCGAACAGCTAGCCACGAATGCGAGACAAAGGTTGATGGGGTGGACCAAGTGGAAGTACGGCAGATGTGAGAAATGTCAATGCCACGTTGAAAGCAGTTGAGGTTGAAAGAGCTCTGGTAGAGTGTGCGCGAAGAGCATCTGGAGCTGATTTGCCTAATCGCTCATAAGCCAGAGTGACTGTCTGAATAATCCACCTAGATAGAGTTTGTGAGGATGGTGCTGAGCCCTTATGAGGGCCATGAAAACATATGAAAAGGTGTGGACTTTTCTAAAAGATCGAGTCCTGTCAAAATAAAAAGCTAAGGAGTGCCTGACATCGAGCATATGGAGCATGCACTCAGCATTAGTTTGAGGAGATGAAAAAAGTGAAAGTAAGATTAATGGTTGGTTTAAATGAATGTCCGACACAATCTTTGGAAGAAAAGAAATATCAGGGTAAAGGGTGACCTTGTCTGGATGAAATTGTATATAGGGTGGGTCGGATCGGAGGGCTGAAAGTTCACTAGCCCTCTGAGTTGATGTTATTGCAACCAAAAAGACTGTTTTGAGAGAGAGGAGTTAGGGTTAGGGTCCAGGCCGGGCTGGATGGGACATCCACCATTGAGGAGCCAATAGAGAGAGGCTATCAGCTGAAGCAATGGGCTGGCCTAGAGGTGGAGATGAGACATCACCTAGATACGAGAAAGTTTCCGGAGCTTCTCATGAAGTTTCTTCTAAGATCAGCGATGGTATGGCCATCTGAGGTGGATATGGGTGAGTATCTTCAGTGTGGAGTGAGACAAGCCATGGTGAAAGAGATGTAAAATGAAGGTAAGAAGAGTCTTTAGAGAGACTGGTGAAGATATCAAGTTATTGGAGGTGGTGAAGGAGGAAATGATTTCTATTTATGAGTATAGAGGAGATGAGTTGCCGGTTTTCCAGCTCTATCGAGGACAGCTTTTAAGGTGGGAGAATCCTCCATGCTGTAAGTTTGAGAGACATTAGATCTGGATGGTGGATCGCTCCGTTGTCTTGTGTCAGGAAGTGGGGAATGGATGGGAGGTGAAGAAGTCTGATGACATCTTCTTGAGCTGGGTGAACCAAGGCTGTCTGGGCCACCATGGTGCAATCAAGATTGCATTGGATTGAGACTGACAAAGTTTTATGATTGTTCATTGGATTACTGGAATTGGAGGGAACAGATATAAGATGTTGTGAGTCCATTTGATCAAGAAAGTGTCTTCCTGAGAGTGAGTGCCTATTCCCACTCTTGAACAGTACAGGGTGCACTTTGAGTTGTGGGGGGACGCAAAAACATCTATTGTGGGGGTATCCCAGCTGTTGCACAGTTGGCCGAAAAAAGTGTTGTCTAGTGACCATTCATGCATTGATGTGGTTAGCCTGCTGAGATGATCTGCTAATGAACTGTCCTGAGTAGATACATGGACTGCCATGGGAAAAACATGGTGGGTGTAGCACCATTCCCAAAGTCTTATTGCTAGATGTAGAAGGGAGAGGGAGTGTGTGCCTTCCTGTTTGTTGTCGTAGAATAAAGCGGTCATGTTGTCTGGGGCAAGTTGGATTGCTTGTCCAGAGATCAAAGCTCAGAAGGCTTGAAAGGCCTTGATTATAGCGAACAGCCCTAAATGGTTAATATGAAGCCATTTTTCTTTTGAATTCCATACGGCGTGAATCCTGCATCCTTGACAGTGAGCTCCCCATCCCAAAGGGCTGGCATTGGTTATGACCTGTGTCGTGAGCTGGAGGGGAGCAAACGATTGACTGATGAGGAGATTCGGATAGTAAGTCCACCATGAAAGTTGGTTGGAGAGTTCTTTGGATACTAGCAGTTGTTTGTAGGGGTGATCCTCTAAGGGGTCGAAAAGAGAGAGGAACCATGATTGAAGAGACTTCATTTTTAGTCTTGCATGTTGAATGACTGCTGTTGTGCAGGCCATGAGCCCTAGAAGATGTGGGCATGATGAGCTGTGACATAATGTAGAAGTCGAAATACTTGGATTGCGTTTTTGAGTTTGTCGATCCTTTCTTGTGGGAGAAAGGCACGAGCTTGGGAGGAGTCTAATTGAGCTCCTATGTAGGTAACAGTTTGAGATGGGTTGAGGCATGATTTTGAAAAATTTACCTTTAGTCCGAGATCTGCTAGGAGGGTTAGGGTAAAGCGGGCATCATTCAATACGGTCTGGTATGAGTCTGAGATGATCAGCCAGTTGTCTATGTACAGAAAGACTGTGATTCCCCGTAGACGGAGGAAGGCAGCGACAGGGGCGAGACACTTGGGGAAAGTTCTGCGTGCTGTTGACAGACCGAAGGGGAGAGCTCAGAACTGATAGGTGGTATTGTTGAAATGGAAACATAGAAAATTTTGATGTCCAGGGTGAATGGAGATATGGAAATAAGCTTCTTGTAAGTCAATGACTACGAACCAGTCTCCGAGAGAAAGGAGACGGATTATGGTGTCAAGGGTAGTCATTCTGAATTGTTTGGGGTGAATGTAGTCATTGAGTTTTCTGAGGTTGAGTACTGGGCGGAGACCTCCATCTTTCTTTGGTACTGTGAAGTAACAGTAATAGAAACTTTTGTGGCCATCTGACTGTGGAACTGGGAGGATAGCATGTTTCTGGAGAAGAAGTACTTTATCTTGTAGGGCTGTAGAGAAGGGGGTGGTTTTTATGCGAGTGAAAGGTAGGGGGTGGTCGAATTCCATAATGTAACCGTGAGTGATGATAGAAAGGACCAAGTGATAGTTGGTGATTTGAGTCCATGAACTGAGAAATGGCGAGAGACGGGTATGGAAAGTGTAGATCTTGTGCTCGGAGGAGTCAGGGATATGGTTTGGTCTTTTTCTGCTGACGGTGAAATGGCTGTCGTCTTTGTTGTTGCTGTGTTTGAGATCAAAAGTTAGGACCAGATGAGACTGATGGCATGGGAAATGGATGGTCAGAGGATTGTGATGTGTAAGGTTTGTATTGTGGCTGAAATGGCTAGTGTACAAAGGGCTGCTTCCTCCATTGAGGGTGCTGATATCTGAAAGTTTGCTGAGTTGCGTAAGACTTTGCTGTTTTGCGAATCTTATGCAAGTTGCCCATAACTTCACCAGTCTTCTCATTAAATAGTCCAGTTCCGTCAAAGGGAAGGTCTTCGATACGAGTTTTTGTGTCATCAGATACTCCAGTGGATCTGAGCCATGCATGGCGGCACAGGCCAATGGAAGGGGCCATTGCTTTTGACGCGGCTTCTGCTATGTGTCTGGAAGCTATGCTATGTTTAAACCTTCTGACTTAGTATCATCAGGGGTTACCTGGAGTATAGGGAGTACCCGATTCCAAAGTTGGCGCTGGTAGGCTCCCATGGCAGCTTGATAGTTCGCAACCCTCATAATGAAGGATGTGAGTGAATAGAAAAGTCTCCCTAAGATATCAAGTTTTCTCCCTTCTCTATTAGTCAGGGCCACGGAGGACTTGTTCTGGGCTCGAGATTCGACTATAATAGAGTTTAGGATGGGATGTTTTGAGAGAAATGAAATGTCCATGCCGTGAGTTTTGTAATGATTTTCTATTCTCCGAGAAATCTGGAGAGAAGATGGGGGCTTGTCCCATGATTCTTTTACGAGATCAAGCATTGCTGGAATAAAGGCAAGACTTAATGGAGGCACTTTATCTTGATTTATATCATCAAAGACTAAGTCTTGTTTTTAAGGCGGAGGTTCATCTACCACAAGCTCTAAAGATTTAGCTATTCTTAGAACCATTTGGCTATATGAAGTAAAGTCTTCTGAAGGGGACAGTGGGTGGTTTTCTGCCAGATCAGAGTTCAGAGTGAGGAGATTAGAGGGTGATTCTTGAGAAGCGATCAAAGAAGGAGAATGATTGGAGGTAGAAGAAGTTGGTAAAGGGGAATGGTATTGTGGTTTTTGTGGTAAGGGTTTCAAGGTCGGGGGCTGTTGAGTGGAAAGTGGATCAGACTCATATGGAGGAGTGTGTGGACCTGTGTAAGTAGTAGTGGCTTGTACGGAAGAGGGTGATGTCGACTCTGAGGTTGAGATGTAGTTGGTATCGAGCGTCCCGGTGTCGCAGAAGATTTAGACCAGTGGTTCTTAACCTTTGTTACTTGGATGTTTTTGAACTGCAACTCCCAGAAACCCCAGCCAGCACAGTTGGTGGTGAAGGCTTCTGGGAGTTGCAGTCCAAAACTCCTGAGTAACCCAAGATTAAGAACCAGTGATTTAGACCATTTAGCCGACATGTTCAGGACGGTATCTCAAGGCTGGTTTGACAGGTCGAGGTATTTGTCGATAAACTGTGCTTCTGGAAGGTCGGTCATGAGGTGGAGACAAGAAGAGTGATGGAGAGCACATGGGTGGATATGTGATGGTGTATCTTACACATTTAGGCTTATCATATTAAAGGGGCTCCCCTATCTCGTCTCCATGGGAATATGTCTCATAGTGTACGTGGTACGGGTCTCGGTAGTCATCTCTCCAATGGTATCAGGAGGGGTCTCTATAATATACGTATTCTCTGTGTGGTGGTTCATATTCCGCAGGAGAGAGGTGTCTGTTTTTTGCTCGACGTTTACAAGAGGGCGATCTCGTTGGATAGTCAAGCTCGGAGATTGGTGGAGATACTGCTCGCCCTGTTAGTGCAGGGCTGGAATGGGCCAAGGCCGGGCTGGATGGGACATCCGCCACTGAGTGGCCAATTCTCTGAGAGAGGCTATCAGCCGAAGTAATGAGCTGGCCTAGAGGTGGAGATGAGACATTGCCTAGATCCGAGACAGTCTCTGGAGCATCTCGTGAAGATTCTTCTAAGATTGGTGATGGTATGGTCATCTGAGGTGGATCTGGGTGAGTAGGTTGTGAAGATTTTCTTGGTTTATTTATCTTAGTCTTGTCTCTCTTTGATTTAGATGGACCCTTCGATTTTGGATGCTTCGGTGTCAGCGTCAGCTTTGGTCTTGAAGACTTAGAATGGTCTTTTAACTTTGGAGAAGGTGTGGCTGGGCTTGAGATCAAGTGAGGTGGGTCTTGCCGAGAAGCCAGTGGACAGCCTGATTCCATCTGTGGAGCCGGTGGATGAAGAGATGTCTCCCAAAGGTGAGATCTGAGACGCTGTAATCTCAATTTGAGTGCCAGTTTAGTTAGTTTTTTACGCTCTGCACAGTTATGGGTTTGATGTTGTTCTCTAGGCGAAAAAGGCAACGATCATGCCCATCGGAGGGTGTGATTTTGTTAGTGCAGAGCACACACCACTTGAAGGGCCGGGGGGGGGCAATAAAGGAAATGGTGAAAACGGGGAAGAGACCGAAATAGATTGAGAAAGAAAGGAGAAAACAGGGGAAGTAAGATAAAGAGGAAGAACTCATGAGGGAACGCCAAATACAGTAAAAACGGCCATGAGGTACAGAGGAATAAGGCTTTCAAAAGAGAAAGTGGTGGCTCTAGCTCATTGAAAGGACTGACCTGAGCGGCGGCTAAAAGAAACTGAGGAGGTCTCTGGCGAGCGGAGCATGTGCTCCACGGGGGAACGTCCCTCTAATCACATGTTTTTAAAGTCTAGAAACTTCTGAGAAGTCATGCGCAGGTGCAGTAATACCTAATTGTGTTCATTCAGAGACTACGAAGAAGAACATCCTCATATGGGGATTTCACACACTTCATACATATCATGAGATCACCTGGCAGACCTGGATCTTTTACGCTTGGGGGGAACAAATAAACAAACAAAACAACTTTGTAAAATGTCACTGGCCTACTCTCTCATGGCAAAAGTAACAAATGTTCCTCTTCAACCACCCAAGCAGAATATCATGCAGGAATGCAATAACTCAATGTGTGGCATCATTTCCATCCAGAAGAGTTAGAATTGAAAGTACTTGTGTAATTTCTTCCATGCTGAACCACACTGGGGGTGTGGAACAATCCTTAAATATCTTAATTTCCTTGAAAGCCCTATGAGGATTGCTATACATTTGCCAAGTTCGCAAGTAGAGGGAATATTTCCCTATCAGAGCGGTTTGTTAAGTCGAAATGTTCGTAAATAGGGCCGTTCGTAAGTCGAGGGTTGACTGAATGGCAAATTTCACATCTGGTCCTGCTTACCTTAGTTTAACTCCATCACATTCCTTTAACCCCACCCATGTTGCATGCTGCAACATGACTCCTGAGAGCCTCACCAAGTTAGAATTCTGCCCTATGCAGAAAAATGATTCTCCTTCCTATTCTATATACTACATGTGAAATGTCTCTCCCCACACACTTCTACCCTTTGTTTTTAATTTTTTTATCTTATTATTTTCTGTCAATCCATTCAACATAGCATAACAGAACACCTATTGTAATGCAATAACAGCGAATTTCTATTCAGCCTACTGCTCACTTTTACTCTACTCTTTGCCTCAGTATCCGATTTCAACAGAGGTGCCATATCATCATAAAAGTTAACTTATTTAATTTCCCCTCTGTATAACCTAGCCATTGTTTTTCATGATTTGAAGCTAGGCCGTCCTGAAAAAAGTCCCAAAGATTTGTGAATGGTCTACACCCAGCATACAACATAGAGTCAATGCATACTATTCCTACATTACCATATTAGTATCAAAGTGTTTTGAAGATTGTTCTTGCCTACCTATTTTTTCTTCAAGCTGCTCCTCTTCTTGCTCAGCATCTGTTGTACAGCGATACCCTTTTTTCTTTAGCATGTGACAGATCAAAACCCCCAGGAGTCCCATGAAGAAGAAGACAGGAATCAGGAAAAAAGCAATGTATTCAGGGTGCGCACTACCTCCTGAAGAACCATGATCAGTTGTATTCCCTGTACTTCTTAAGCTGCGGCTTAACCACTCCTCAGCAATCTCTATGAAAACAAGAGGGACAGAGAAGGATACTGCATTATTTATTTTACTTATTTATTATATTTATATCCTGCCCATCTAGTCATTCGACTACTCTGGAGCGGCGTACATCAGACAAAATAAAACATTTAAAATAACATCAGTATTTATTCATCTCATTAATGAGATTTGTATGGTAACAATTTGCATACTTCCTCATCACTCTTCAGGTAACAAAATATAAGTCTTCAGCAAGCAAGGAAGAAGCCAGATCAGCCAATGAGTCTGCTGACAGCTGGACAGCATAATCAATTCATTTTACAGGAAAACTAACTGAACACATGAGAAATGGTCCTTGTTTACAAGCCACCTAACTTTAATCAACTGAGAAACTGACTGAAATCCTCTTGCTTAGTTATCAAAAGATATAATTTTAAGGTGAACTACCTCAAGAAATATCTATAGATATTATCTATTACATGACAAATCATGTGACTCAACATGCAACAGATGTCTATAATTTTCTTAACTTGAGGCAATTCACCTCTAGAATGTATACCTTTTGCAAAACCAAGCAAAAGGATTTCACTTAATATGCGCTACCATTTTGGTATGACATGCAAGTTAACTAAGCACATATGAATGATGCCAGAATGAAAAAAACATGAATACGTTTTTTTTCATAGTGGCAGCTCTGCCTTCAGAAGCTTCTGCAAAGGTCCCACTCAACTAGTATGAAAAAAGAAAGCAACACATTGAGAAGAAGTAAAACAAAGCAGCCAAATAGCTCTAAACTACAGTCTGTTTGTCTTATTTTTGAAAGCTCAAAACAGTGTGTGTTAAGGGACCTAAATGGAGGCCTTGGGGACTTCAAAAATATTCAAGTGTACTACAGTATTTAACATGCAATATTCCAAGTTATATTAACAGAAGAAACTACTTTCATAAACAAAGAGAGAATAAGAATCTATACTTTTAAGTAGATTAAAATTTCACTTATTCTAAAAGGAAGACATCAGCCTTTTGCCCCATATATCTTTCAATATTCAGCAGTTTCTTGTGTTTTGTGTTTTTCACTAAACTGTCATATCAGCAGAGTAGCATGTTTAAACAAAGCTTCTAATGCTAAAACCAAAGTGAATGCATGTACATATTATGTTTCCAGCTGTTGGAAAGTTTTCAAGTCTTCAATTCTAAATTCATTCTGAGCATGCAACACAGTATTTTAAAAGGGATCAAATAGTCCTGCCTATGCGGTCAGAAATCCATAGTTATAACATGTCTTCATTTTGGAACAGCAGCATCTGAGTTTGGAAAGTAAAACAACAACATTGTTCAGCACTTTAAGTGTTCAAAGTGCACTGCAGACATTATCTGCAGAATTATAATTCTAATATTTTTCTAAATGGAAGTTGGAAATGGAAGTTATTACTGCCAAAGTTTATGGTGTAAACAGAAAATTTCCAGCTCCGCAGTTCTATGATGGTGATTACAATTAATATACACTCTTCTATAACAAATTTCTCTAGAAAATACAGTATATAGTAATTTCAATGAAGAAAAGATTCATTTAGAAGAATTAATACAGTACAAATTGTCTTGCGTGAATAAACTTACTTACTTACTTACTTACTTACTTACTTACTTACTTACTTACTTACTTACTTACTTACTTACTTACTTACTTACTTACTTACTTAACTTATTTGATTTGTACCCCGCCCATCTGGTCTATAAGAACACTCTAGGCAGCTATTATAACATGGCATTTAACATTTATCAAATAGAAATTCCAGCTAAATAACTCAGTAAGTTGAGTGCCTGGCTGTGGAGCCAGAATTGATCCTGTATTTCCTAGAAAAGTGTGTCTGTGTAGCTTGGGCAAACCGCACAGTCCGAGAGCTCCCACAGAAGAAGGGGATGTTAAATTACTTTTGAGCTGTCAAGCAAAGAGAGATGGTGGTCCCAGGATGTAAAAATGGGTATGAATACTTTATTCAAAGATAAGCCCAGCGCCTTTCAGCTATTTCACTTTTAGCCTTCTTCATGGGCTATAATATAATAAAAAAAACAGAGAGAGGACATATATGAGCTACTCATTTGACCAAACAGGAAGTTATGAACAGGCTTCAATAAAACTTTGCTAGCCTGCTAGAGCTCAAGAGGAGATAATCAAACTTCTTTCAGAAGGAAGTTTGCATAGTTGGGGGGGGTTGACTTTTTTATACACCAAAATCACATTTTGGCTGCTTCTGCTGCTATCAAAATGTCTACTCTCTCATTCTCCACAAGCACACTTCCAAAAGTGGCCGAATATAAAACCCAGTCTTAGATGCTGGACATAGCATGCAAACTACCGTATTTGCAGGCGTACAAGATGACTGGGCCTATAAGACGACGCCCCAACATTTCCACTCAAAATATAGAGTGGATGGCTCTGCTGCGGCAGGGGCCCTGGCCTGCACTGGACATTCATGGCCAGTGAGGAGGGGAAGTGGCCAGGCAGGTGGCAGCGGAGGAGGAGGAGGGGAAGTGGCTATCCGTTGGCAGGCGGGTGAGCAGGCAGCTGGCTCAGTGGCGCGGGGCGGCGGGCAGCCCAGCGGCAGGCTCTGGCCGCTCAGGCATGGCCGGCTCTGCTTCCCTCCCTCCCTCCGGACCGCCCACTCGCCTTCCTCCCCTGCCAGAGCGGCCCCACGTCACTCACTCGGTGGCGGCTCCTTCCTGGCCCAACTGAAGTGCACCCGGCATATAAGACAACCCCCCCCCACTTGGAGGCATGTTTTAGGGGCCAAAAAAGTCATCTTGTACGCCGGCAAATACGGTAGCTCATGTGGCCTTTCCCAAGGAGGGGGAAAACTGGCCTCAACATGTGTTGACTTTGCAGGTAATAATCAGTATTGAATTATGTTTAGAAGCAAATCAAAAGCAAAACAAACAAAAAAAAATAGCTGTTGTCATTTCCCACTCTGATACCCTCTTTGGCCAAGTTACTCTACAAATATCCCATAAGGAAGATGCACACAGATATAGCCAACATGTGACTTATCATAATGAATTCTTCACAACCCAGAAAAGGTCACAGCTAGTTCCCACAGCTAAAGACTTAACCTGAAAATAATCCCTAGTATGATTTTTCAGGATGCTTGTAATATAAGCCCTACACCCAAATAAGCCCCAGTTAAATGAAACTCCGCACAAATATCCCATAAGGAAGATGCACACAGATATAGCCAACATGTGACTTATCATAATGAATTCTTCACAACCCAGAAAAGGTCACAGCTAGTTCCCACAGCTAAAGACTTAACCTGAAAATAATCCCTAGTATGATTTTTCAGGATGCTTGTAATATAAGCCCTACACCCAAATAAGCCCCAGTTAAATGAAACTCCGCCCCGCCCTATTGTGCAGCAACCAGAAGAAGACGACATGATTGTATTTGAATAAATATAGATTGTTCCACATGAAAAAATAAAACATCCCCTGAAAATAAGCCCTAATGTGTTTTTGGAGCAAAATTTAATATAAGACCCTTTCTTATTTTGGGGGAAACATGGTAGTTCCCAATACAAAGCTGAGGTAAGGTATTCATGAAATAGATGCCACCTTCTCATGAGATGGCCAAAGTATTGGAGCCTCAGCTTCAGGATCTATCTTTCCAGAGAGCACTCAGGGTTGATTTCCTTCAGAATGGATAGGTTTGATCTCCTTGCAGTCCAAAGGACTTTCAAGAGTCTCCTCCAGCACCACAATTCAAAAATTCTTTGGCGGTCAGCCTTCTTTATGGTCCAGCTCTCACTTCCATACATCACTACTGGAAAAACCGTAGCTTTGAAACAACATATTATGACTTCCCCCTGTGTACTATTCAGTTGACATTTGATATTTTACCATTTCTGTTGCAGGAACTTGATAACTTAAGTGAAACATGAAGTTTGTCCGAAATGGAAGATGAAAATATTGAGCTGCCAGGTATGGCAAAAGGAAATATAAAGGTCTGTGAAACCAAATTTGCAGTCTGTGAGTTGCAGTTCGAGACTGCCAAGCTTTTTATCAAGCTTTGCAGACAAAATATCAAATGAAGAACAAAAAAGAGCAGATGAGACATTGATTCAAGCTGTATTTGCAAGGAGTTGCTCAGCACCACTTTCTGACTTCTCTCCTCCAGCAAGGAGTGGAGCCACTGTAAAACAGTGCCTCCCAGTCCCATTACAAAGAGACAGGCCAGGAGAATGCCATCGTTGAAGGTATCAAAAGCAGCTGAAATGTCCAGCAGAACCAACTGAGACACACTCTCCTTGTCCAGTTCCCGGTGTAAGTCATCCACCAATAGGTAACATATGAAAAATGAAATACCTGATCGAAACATAGGATGCAGAAAGACACTTATTCATTTGAATCCACCCCCTGCAAAGTGGTGCTTCTCTTTCCAAAAGGGCAAGTAATATGACTGCAGGAAATGTATTCCTCTACCAAGATATATTACAGGCAATCAAAAATAAAATTATCTTTATGTAAGATCTTTATATAAGAATCATATTACTTGTTCATACAAATAGTTTTTGATTTTCATGTTGCCTGAACATGATTCATCTGAACAGATTTGCCCAACTTGTTCTGCAAAAAACTTTCAGACTTTTCACTGTGAAAAATACTGCTGTCTTATCCTAGCACACATATATAGTTTTAGAAAATACAAAAAGGTCATTCTTGCTCTGATTAACTAGAGTCCTATGGTCAGTTATGCATTTCAACAGATCATCGCACAACAGAACAAGTCTTTTCCTTGCTTAAACTTGACTTTCTTAATAAAGCACCGTATGAGTATGTACTGTGCTAAGAATCAGGAGTCTAACGAACAGGATAAGCCAGGATTTTAAAAAACAACTCAAGAAGTTTCCCATGTTCTCATCAACATGCACACTTTAAGAAAGCAGTCCAGTCACATCCAAACAATTTGCTTAAACTACCAGTCAGCCAAAACATAAAGATTGCAAACTATACATACTAACTAACAAAATAT